AGCCCCGCTTAAATGAGTGCCTTTATTGGGTCAGTTAGAATATCTGAAACTATTAATTCTCTTGTATTGAATAGCTGGTGGCAGGCCAGAGCAGATGGGGTAGGAAAGTATTTGGTTGGGTGTATTGCTTTCAATTAGGATCAATGAGGTTTCAGCTCCTTTGAATTAACTCACTTAATACCCACTGTGTGAAGTCACAGCCTGCGAGACGCAGAGAGGAAAGTGGGGAAAACCTGTAGGAAAGCTGTAAGGCGAACCCTGGTGTAGAGAGCTTTCATGGTAAGTCAGGTTTTGAACAAAGGAAAATGACGTATGCCAGGGCTCCTCTGTTTTGGAAAGAAGTGAAAAACACCTTGGAGCAGTGGTTCTCAACCTTCCTCATGCCGCGACCCTTTAATACAGTTCCTCATGTCGTGGTGACCCCCAACCATAAAATTATTTTCGTTGCTACTTCATAACTGTAATGTTGCTACTGTTATGAATCATAACTGTAATGTTGCTACTGTCAGGATGTATTTTCATTGTTACAAATTGAACGTAATTAAAGCATAGTGATTAATCACAAAAACAATATGTAATTATATATGTGCTTTCCGATGGTCTTAGGCGACCCCTGTGAAAGGGTCATTCGACCCCTAAAGGGGTCTCGACCCACAGGTTGAGAACCGCTGCCTTGGAGGAATCCAAGACCATAATGCCTTTCTAGAGAATGATGTGAATTTATTGTCAAAAACCAACTATGTATTTTTTGGGGAGCCTGGCATTCAGGTGTTGACTAAATGTACCAGTTTGGAAAATGTACCGATTTGGGTGACTCATTTGAACGAATTGGCCTTAAAAAATGCTTTGTGTTCTTAATGAAAAGACACGGCCTACTGGCATGGCTTTCCTGAGGAAGTACTTAATTGGCCAGCCATGTATCCCTTGTGATTGTTTGGAATATATCTAATTTTTAAAAATACGATTTCTAGTGGAGATGCAGGACTGTGTTTCATACTGGAGAAAACTTTTGCAATTCAGATACTCCCCCCACCCCAGCCCCGCCCCGCCTGTCCCCCATTCACGTACATAAATGCATTTGTCATGTTATTGATTGTCCATTTTTATTATAAATTTGGATGTTAGAGCTCTTGGCTCCTATATGCTTATGGTTTTTTTGTGTGTTTTTTTTTTATTGAAGGGGAAGTTATTTTTGTCTAAGTGACTATACAGAACTTTGTGTGCAGGTGTCCATGTTCAAGGTGAACTGCCAAATAGGGTTTCTGCTTTTGCTCGCCTCCATGGATTAAAGAGCAAGAAGAAGAAACTGGTTCCTGGAGAAAATGCTGAACTAGTCTCCGATGCACACACATTCAGTTAGGCCCTTTCTGCAATCAGATTTCTAGGTGAGAATCTCCGGGGATCCAGGTTTTGTTGACGTGGATCAATTTAAAGTGGCAATTACTGTAGTCAGATAACAGCTTAAAAAGCTTTTTTACACATAGGAAAGATACATAATTACACGGCATATGGAAGTTCAATTTTCTGAGCTATGGTTTAGCGGCTTGCAGTGTACCGATATTAAGACCTAGTTTTAAAACCGGATATCATCCAGTTTTCTTAAAGTGTAATGCATTTTTGTCGTACGATTTTCTATTTCGGGAGTGATTCACTGTGCATATCGATGAAAGGTTGGGTTTCCCACTGTGAAAATGTTTTCTTTCTAACATAGGTAAAAGTATTAAAAAAAAACAACCTACCATTGAGTGGCTTTAAAAAAACACTCTTTTTAAAAAGTGAAGATATACAGATTGAGGATGCTGGATTCCAGAAAGGCCCTTACTGCGGGCCTTAATTGATTATCACTCTCATGCCTGCTAGAAAGCTCTCTGTCATAAGAATGTTTGCGCTTGGTGCTTAACTATCCCGAAATCCATTACACAGAACCTCATTACAAGTGACATCTAACTAAGATGAACAAAAAGATTGGCCCCATAAATAGGGTGCCGTATACTACTAGTGACAGAACGCAGTCATCATTATGAATTATAGTCTTTTCACAGGTTGTCCCTGACAGTGATGGATTTTGAGGGGTTCACTAGATGCAGCGGCGCTTCCAGGGTGCAGTATTTGGGGGGCTGTAGAAGTTCTTAGGGATTGACGCCGTTTACTAAAGATGACTCATTTTCAGGGTTTGCAGGGTGTGTGCGCGTAGGGGGGTTTGCTCTGAAACAGGTTGTGTGCACTCTTGCCGAGAAGTGTAGGCATGGCGAGTAGGTAGAAGACGGAGTCACTGCCTGTGTTTTCAGATGGGCTTTTATGATTTCTTTGAGGCCCCAAGGAGGTGGGGGGGGGTGGAAATCTAGCTGACAAAGCCTAAAAGCCTGTGGAAAGGGTAGAACAAGCAGAGGAAGGCGGTGAAGGGATGGCAAGAGTTAAAGGGGATGATCCGTCTGCCATGTTCCTTGAACTTGCAGGCTTGTCAGAGGCTCCTGGCAGAGTTGTTTGTGTGTTTAGAGCGGGTGGAACAGACGTTGGGAAGGTGAAACGGGAGGAGGCATCTCTCCGTCTCCTCACGCGCCTGCCCCGTTGTTAAAACAAATACAAACCTGGGAACGGATTGTGCCAGGGCCAAAGTGAGGGAGGGTTCGAGAGGAGAACAGTGTTTTCCTCCTGCCTGGCATTTTTTTGTGCGTTTAGGGAAGAAAAGCACGCAAGGCAGACAGGCAGGGATGTTTTACAAAGGACTAAAGAGGGACTGCTGAGAGGAAAATAGCCAGCTTTAGATAAAGCACTATAACAAAGCCTTGTCGTTTTATATATCATGGTGTCCATTAGGGCTTAATGGGGACGAGTCCATTGAACTGGGCTGGGTATGTGTCATTCATGGGAAAGAGCAGCATTGAAGGGTGAGCAATAATAATAATAATAATAATAATAATAATAAACCAGAAGGACAGGATTGTTCAGCTTTTGAAAAGCGCCCCCCCCCCTTTTTTTTTCTGTGAAGATTTTGTTTTCATTTCCCAGGGATCTCTCTCCGCAGAATACAGGAGAGTAAGCTGACAGTGTTTGGAGCGTCTCAGCGCAGGGACCACAGGGGGTTAAAAGCACGCGAGTAAAATAGAAGTGGCCTGCTTCTGCTTCGAGAGTGCTCTGTTTCACACGTACCCCTGAGAAGCTGACAAAAGGAAGGATTCTGATACTCCGGTCCGTGGGATAAACTGGCACACGAGGCAAAGTCTTATAAATACGTTTTTGCCCTGTTTTGGATTTTCAGTGGCATAAACAAACTTTGAAGTTTGTGCCTATGATTTTTGTGTTTGTTTTTTTTCAACGTAGTTCACCATGATGAGAAGGTGAAGAGAAGTCATTTATTGGGGGGGCCCAAGTCTCCTTGTCATTCTTTTGGCAAAAGAAGGGTTAACTGGTAACTGGCTGGGGGTGGCGGCGAATGAATTATTCAGCATTTAGCTTATCATTCTGCTTTTTTTTTTTTTTACTGTCTGTTCTTTGGAGCTCTGAGAGAGAGAGAGAGAGAGAGAGAGAGAGAGAGAGAGAGAGAGGAGGCCACGGTTGCGGTCCTTTGCACACACATCCCTGTCATTGTTCTGCCTGGAGAGACAGGGCTGGGTTCAAGGCCACATGTGCTCCTGTCATCATCCACATTTCTGCTTCAAGTGCAACCCGGAGTGTCAGCTCTCCATCTGTCTCTGGCTGGCAGGCGCACGCGCCCAGCACCCTGCCTGGGGCCATGCCGCCCCAGCCCCTTCCGAGGGCCGTGCTCTCCCCGCCTGCGCTCATTCCAGAACACGAGGCCTGAGCTCCGCGCGCTGCGTGCAGCAGGCAGCCACCTTCTGTGGACGCCGCCTTCAGGGATGCCGGGTGAGTGAGCCCGCGGCGCCTCCTCTCTCTGATTGGAACGTGGAGGACGCTTACTTGTTAGGAGGCAGGGAAGAGGCCTCCTGCCCCCTGGGTGCTGTGCCTTCTGTGGGGCAGAGGCTGGGGATGGCAGAGGTGATAGGTGGAAGGGAAGGTGGGAGAGAGAGAGAGAGAGAGAGAGAGAGAGAGAGAGAGAGAGAGAGAGAGAGAGAGAGAGAGACATCAAGATCTAGATACAGGGGTACGGGGTGTGGGAGTCCTTCCTTTTAAAAAAACCCGGGAGGTGTGTTTCGAAAGCTGAGCCATGTATGTGTTGCCAAAGCCATTCGCTGGAGGGATGGAGCTCCACTTAGAAGTATTGTTTCTGTTCTGGATTTCGTGCCTGTCATCGGTGCCTTGTAGCCTGGACATTTCCTCTGTGAGGAGAGTTGTCAGATGATGGCGGAACCCTGGGATGAGGTCTGTTCTGTTTTTTTTTTTTTTTTAAAGCTGTTTGTGTTAGAGAAAGTAAAGAATGCTTTGAAACTGCAAATCATTCCAGTCTCAGCCCTCAATCACAGTCCTCGGATGTCGTAGGCAGATCGTCGACATCATTTAATTAAAAAGAAAAAGTCTGCAGAATTACTGACGCTGTCGCGGGTCTGGAAATTTAGTGTACGTCCATTTCCTCGGGAAAATATTATCTTTGGAGCCTCTGAGTGTTCCTGTCTGTGGTTGCTGCCAGCGAGGGCTCTGCTGATGGGGAAGGAAGCCCGGGAGGAGCAGGCTGCTGGGGAAGGCTGGTCTCTGCTCTTCTCCAGGACGGTGCCCGCTGGGAGCAGTCCCTCTGTGGTCAGAAGGGACCCCCAGCCGGCACACCGTGCCGATGGCTGGGGTAGGACAGGCAGCAGAGGCTGTGCCTGGCCCCAGAGCGCGGACACCTCGCAGATGGTGTTTTGAAACATTATCCGCGGTTCCCCACAGCCACAGTTGTGTGTAGGTATTGCCAGTTGTTTGAAGAATGCTTCCCCCTTTAGGATGTGTCTTGTGACCCTCGTCGCTATTAATATACGTGCAGACAGGAGGCCTTCGGGACAGAGGGCAGTTTTTCATTAGTTCAGTAGATGAGGAGTGGAGGTAGCTGGGATAGGAGGGAAGTCAGTTTACCAAAAGAGACAATGACCAAGGTATGTCAAGGGCCATTGGAACTTTGGAAGCTCTCCTCTTTATTTATCATCAATGTGAAAAAGTGCCTGTGTGTGTGTGTGTGTGTGTGGGGGGGGGGATTATTTCGCCAGGATATTGGAACACTTTCGTTTGATTTTGATGTCATCATTTGAATCTTCTTTGTTTTTATGCTCCTCATACATGTGTGAAGTGATCTGACTTATCAGTATTTTGAAGAACCTGTATTTTGTTTTGCTAAAACAAACCCCACAATAAACCAAAGACATTTGTGAATGATAATAGGGGGAAGGGATTATATGGTTTTAAAGTATGTTTATTTAAAATGCATTGAACTATTTTTGAAGTTTTGGAATCATGGATAAGTTTTGTTTTACTGTTGAGTTGTTGATATCTGTCTGGTTCTGAAGCCTGAGGTGTGGGCAGTCTCTCTCTCTCTCTTTCTCTCTCTCCCCCTCTCTCTCATCAACTGTTAGAAAACCTTTTACTTGGATGCAGAGAAAATATTAACAGCTGTGACTGTGAGCATGTGCCAGAATGAAGATAGTTGGCTATTTTTGACACCCGTTTGCACTTTTTAAACTTTACTATTGGATGGACTATGTTTTTAGCATATTTTAGGCCATACATATGTAGTTATATTAATGGATAATTTTAACCACCTGGGGTACATTTTATATTTTTAAATAAGACATTATAGGTAGAAGATTAAAAGGATGTGTTTCAGGTAATCTGGTGTTGACACTGTTTTTAAAATTTGACTATATATTTATCTAACACCACTTATTATTATTTATTGGTAGGTCATGTGTCAGAACTGGTTCCTGGTTGTATCAAACTTGAATTAACAATTCTCAGATGTCAGACCTTTTCCATAAAAATGGGGATGCCTGGAAACAGATACGCACAGACTGAATTTGTTCAAAGACATACCAATCTGTGGGGGTGGGTAGATACAAAAGTCTTCAGTTTAGGGGTTTTTAGCCTTAGTTTCGTTTAGAAAACATGCTTTAGCTGTTGGTAGCATATTGTTACAAAAAGGGACTATGAAAAGTCAAAAGGGGCCAGGCATGCTTTAAAGAAATCAATTAAATTATGTTTATGGTTTAATTCAGTATAAGGAGATATCATTACACTGCCTGTCACTTTGTAGTAACTAGATCCTGAGTTTAAGAAAAGAAAAACGGAAAATGTTTTCTTATGAGAAGGCTGAGACACCTTGGGTATTATACTGTTTCAAGAGATGACTCCAAGCTTTCTGAAACGTTTATATTTTTAATCAATCTTCGTATAATATTATCAAAGAACATATGTTGACCTACAAAAAGCTTTCCGGACTGTTTCCTTAAAAGGACAATAAGCGAGCGCAGTCCGTGTAGCTCAGAAAGAGTGCTGTTCTTTCAGAAGATGGCTAATATGAGGTCAGACCACCCTTCTCAATGGCCCTGCTCTCCAGATGTGCATGGAACTTTTTTTTTTAAGTTCAAGTTTCAAAAAAAAAAAAAAGAAAAAGAAAAGAAAAAGGTTTGTTTTCAAAATCTGGTTTTACTTAAGACATCTCCATTCTGGAGTGCATTTCATAAATTGCCCACATATTTTTCTTAGCAGAGAACTTAACTGGCTGTAATTTTTAACACATGGCCACATCATGTGATATTTTCAAAACACTTACACATAGCTTTCAGAAGGTCCCTGCAGCCATGATCCATCCTCGCACAGCCGGCCCGAGTTTTAACAGCATATCTGCATTTTCCATTTAGTAGAGCTATATATTATTAGCTTACATTTTTAGGTAGTAAAACAGTGCATTGCTGATTGTAAAACATGGACTTTATTATCTGCTGAAAATTGATTTGGCATTTATAGCCACTGTGTACTAGACTGTTTTTCTGTTTTTAACATCAGTGCTTGCAAGCGATGATTTGTGTAAAAAACAGCAATGAAATTGCCATGGATCGACAACTGTTAGTGTCCCTGGTAACTGAACATTTGGATAATGCACCTGGTTATTTTTCCCCCCCTTAAATAGAGGCATCTAAATGCTCTTATACAAGAACAAAAAACACAGAAGTTCATTCACTGTCACTCAGTTTAACCCTGCAAGTTGGCTTGCCATTGTGTTGGGCTAATTCTTCAAACAAGCCTCCTGCTTGCTATTAAAAAAAAACAAGAACAACTATATGCACTGCAAATATCCAATTATAAATGTAGATTGTATTGAACATTACTTCTTTATAGCAGGCATTTAAATTTTCCAGCTTTTCTTCAATATCTGGCACCCTACCCCTTTTTCTTTTAAAATTATTTCCAGTAAATAATTTGGAGTATTTGACGTTTTAGTTCTTTATTTTAAATAATACTTGGAAACTTTCACAAGGCACCTTCCTGTGTAGTTAATGATCTATTGAAAAAAAAAAAGGTAAGTGTTTAATCTTTTGGGGAGGGTGATAATTTGTGAAGTTTTCATAAGACAACTAGTTAATTTGTATTTCTTACCGTAAACATTCGCTTAATGGGCATTATATAGTGTAGAAATGTTTATTAATCATCTCACCACCAGTGATATCTGATGTTTGCAAAGGAGATGCTGTAATTATAACATTCTGAACCGCCTCCTGAACCGTTAGAGGAACAAACACGTTTAGAGCTGGAAGGTTTATCTTGCAAGTGCCTTCGCTTTACAGTTGTTGAGGCAGAAGCTCCTAGAGGTGAAGGGACTTGCTGAGGTGGTTTATTAAAGTGAGAGGTTCCTCCCAGTTCACCCCCTTTACCAGGCGTCTTCTAAACCTCAGACGCAGATGAAGTCACGTTACCCTATTAGTGTCAGTCTTACCTTGTGGTCGTTTATCGTGGGCCCTGGATTGCTTTTACCATATGCTTTCTCACCTCCTCCTCCAGGACCGCAGAGCCACCTAGGAGAAAATCCGGTTAACAGTAATCACTTGGCCTGGGGCAAAGGTGTGCCATCCAATTCATCTTAGAATTGTTTGGAAACGAGAAAGCCTCGCTGTAGTTAATCACCTGTGTGTTAAGCAGATCAAATAATGCCAAGGTCTGACAACTGAAAGGTTACTGTAATAAGGGAATTCAGGTACCGAAGTAGAGATCTGTAGGATGCTGAAAAATGTTCCAGGTGCAAGGTAACTATGACTCAGTCCCTCCATTAATGTGACATAATAGTTTTTAGTTTGTCTTTCTTTTTCTAAAATATATTTTTATTGATTTCAGAGAGGCAGGGAGAGGGAGAGAGATAGAAACATCAATGATGAGGGAGAATCATTGATCAGCTGCCTCCTGCTCACCCCCTACTGGGAATCGAGCCTGCAACCCTGGGCATGTGCCCTTGACCGGAATCAAACCCAGAACCCTTCAGTCTGCAGGTTTGACGCTCTATCCACTGAGCCCAACCCGCTAGGGCTAGTTTGTTTTTCTGATACTGAGGACGGGAACTTCATTAAATTTTATTCTATGTGACAAATTTTAATTTGTGTGACAGCAGGCATAGCATTTCTCAAAAGTAATGTGTACAGTGCAGTTCTTTGGTGAAATAAGTCATTGACTGAAATGACTCCTAGCTTGAGTACAGTGAGATTTTACACCTGACCAAGAAGCAGGTCTGTCTGGCCGGCTTTTCAAACAGCTGTTTGCATCAATTAATATTAATGTAAATGTACTTTCTGAGAATGTCGAGCCTAATTATGTTTTCAACACATCGAGTTCCAATCAAAGGAACCAGGAGATCCTCTTAATCTCAAAGGGAATATATACCTGTCATCTCTGAACAGAATAAATCTCTGAAAGTATAGTAAAAGCAGCCTTTTATTGAAAGCCTGGATGGGCCAAGCCCCAGGCTAGGCACCTTCTATACTTCCTAATTCTCACTGCAGCTCTGCAAATGGTTTCTGTGACCATGTGATCAGTTTGAAACCTGAAGACCAGATAAGTTAAGCAGTTTTGCCCAAAGACATATAGATATATCTGCCTGTTGGTTTTAGATTCCTTTATATATATATTTTTCTTTCCCTTTTGAGGAGGGATGAGGATGTTGTGGCTTGATGAGAGGATATTTTACATTGGAAGCTAGATAGAAACATTTAAAGAAAAATATGTGACTTTCAAGTCCAGTAGCATAGAAGGTAGAGTTCTTTTTGCTGAAAAATTAAAATGTAAAAGCATTCGCCTTAATCATCAAGAATGATTTTGGATGAAACAGTTTAGGATGGTGGTTATTTCTCTCTATTCCTCCTTCTCTCTCTCTCTCTCTCTCTCTCTCTCTCTCTCTCTCTCTCTTAAAATATATTTTATTGATTTTTTACAGAGAGGAAGGGAGAGGGATAGAGAGTTAGAAACATTGATTAGCTGCCTCCTGCACACCCCCTACTGGAGATGTGCCCGCAACCAAGACACATGCCCTTGACTGGAATCGAACCTGGGACCCTTCAGTCCACAGGCCGACGCTCTATCCACTGAGCCAAACCGGTCAGGGCTTCCTCCTTCTCTTGAAAGAGTGCAGTGGGAGTGATAGGCATCAGGCTTATGCCATTATTTTGAAAAGCCTAATAGAAGTCATAAATTTACTACTGACAAAGCTGTATAGAGTTAACTAAAACCTCACCTTTTTAAGCTTTTGGAATGTGGTAATCCTGGCTGTCTTTTGTTGATGAGAAGCTCAGATGGTGATTTTGTATGCTTTGGATGAGTAGAAAATTGGAAAGCAAACGATACATTCAACACATTGGCAGACAACATTGTTAAACATTTTGTGGTTAAAAAAAAAAATCAAATCTCTTGGTAGAGAGAATGTTGGGTACCATGTTTTGGCCCCAGGGGGTTCTAGGCATGTAGAAATAGTATTTCCAGAAGATGAGTATGTCGTAGGAAAGCAGGTATCTTTTTTCACCGTGCACTCCCTGTCCAAAAAAAAAGCAATTGATTTTTTAAATTGTGGGATGCTTTCTTTAAAAGATTTCACGTCTGTTTTTCATATTTCCCTTTTAAAGGC